AAGAATAAACTGCCTGAAGCTTCAATTTTTAGCAGGGTTATTTTTATCTAATGCTCAACCAGTAATGACTGCACCTTCAGCAACAGCAACAGAACAACAGCGCCAGCACTGCCACGCTTAGGACTTTCTTTGCCATGGATGGAGYGGGTTGGACCAGGTCCTAACCATTTTAAGGTGGCTGCTAACAGCAGGAAGAACTGTCGCCTGGTTTGAGCGCAGGACTGAAGTATCTCACACACACGGAGCTTTTCTGAAGCTATTGTTCCTGTTTTATAGTGCGAACATGTGCTGGCGTCCCATAAAACAGCAACAGCTGTCAGTCAAACAAGCATCACACTGTAAATCCGCCTGAGTGACTCTGTTTTCAAACCCAGGGTCTCCAGGCAGGTTTACGAGGTGCTGTTTGTGTGATTAACTGGTCCAGAGGACCACGGTGCAGGTGCAGCAAACGGGAGGGAGCTGTGCCGGGGAGGAGATGGGGCGCAGGTTTCCAGCCCTGCCAGAGCCATGGCACAATCTGCACCACCTCAGCTCCACCAGGMCGGGATAAGTCCCTCTCCCCAAAACTGCTCATGCACGTTGCAGAAGATATCTTTTATATACAGTGGTTTGGCAAAGGCACCGAGATTTGTCTTTCTCAACAATAAAGGGGCAGAAGGTTTTTCTTAGCTCCTGCCTGGCTGATGACTGACCAGACTCACTGCTCTGATGATATTTGGATTTTAAAGACACTTGTGAATGGGAGACGGGTGTCCTAAGCCAATACCCTGAGGCATCCAAATAAAACAGTTAAGCACGACATATTAAATGAATGGCATTTTTCCCCTCTACCTGAAGATACCTGTCATCACTTAGAGAGACAGGGCTATTCACAGGTACTGTGTAGCCCCAGACTCTGAAAGATGCATTGMATTCTGTGGTATGATTTAGACGGGTGAGAAAGGTAGAGAAAGGCACAAGAAACACCACCTACCTGTAGAATCTCCCTTAAGCACTTCAGTTCACTTAAGCATTTYATCACCCAGATATGACCATGCGAGTGCACCGACTTGGATGACCAATTACTTGGCAGCATCAGTTCAAAGCTCATTCGTCCTCCAGCTCCTCAAAGGCTCTGTGAAAAAGCAGTTCTGTTAGAGAAAACACCTTCYCCTAGTGAGAATGGGATTAATCTTCTCTATCATTGCAAACACCTTGCAGAAAGGTTTAAGTGACTAAGTATACTTTGAAAAAAATCAAACATTTTAAAATCAGTGACTCTCTTGACTAGTTTATATGAATAAAAAAAGACAAATCAAAGTTAGGCTAAAAATCATTCTGCAGTGCCTTCCCTGCTGAACAGCAATGTCTGATGTTGTTACCCTGTGAATAATAATGGTCCTGTTACCTTTCTCATTTCAAATCAACATCCTGGGTATGCTATGAATGTTTCATTTCAAAATTATTCAACATCTCAGAAATAGCTGCTAGTCCTTTGAAATGCTCTTGCCCTGGAAATCTTTGTTCTGTTTTTCATTACGTTGTTACATTTGCTATTGTTTTAAGTTGAAAGGAAGCACATTCCAGYGCTAACCGATAATACTTGCACTGGTTTTTTTTTTGTCCCTAGTGCTTCACAAACTGTATATTCAGTAGCTCAGGTGCCCCAAGAACGACACATGGATCAAAAAAAGCCCATAGGATTGTGGCTGTTGACCAGTAAGCAGCAGGGAGCTTAAATCCTATTACCAGGTTGGTTCTGGTCCTGGACATCCTTCTGTGTCACTGCAGATTGGCAGGGCCATTACTAGCTTGTGATGAACTAAATGACATAAAGCTGTACTGTCTCTCCTAGATAAATCATTCCTCAAACTTTTAGTATCTTGTACCTGGTCTTTTCCATTCACCTGGGACTCACTTCACAACGCTGCCAATGCATGTGGCTGCATGGCTTACCTTTGGATTAGCAGCAGTTTCATGATGGACTTATTGCATTTTGAAGCCATCTAACTCGAAAGCACAGCATCTGTTCTTGTCTACATCTGTTCTGTGTCCACACTAAGGGACTGACTCCCTTTATTATGCAATTAAAGACGCTGAAAACGTGCTCAAACTAAATTCCCAGCAAAAGAAACAGTTTGGCCAGAAGTAGGAAGTTTCGTAGGTTCCACTAAAAATGTCACTGGGAAGGTTCATCAAGCTGGACCCAAAATATGGTCAATGGGGCAAGGAGAAAAGGCGAGAGATCAAGCTCCAGAATAATCTCAAGGAGACATTCTTATTTTTAGATACAGGTACAAGAAGCAACTTTCAACTGCTAAGATATCGTGGAGAAAATATCAACTGCTGTAGAGATATTCCTTGAAAACAGATTTACACCAGAAATTCCATGATACTGGAAAAATCCCAGTTTTTACCATAAGYGGATTTGGTCAGATAAGAGAAGCAGAGCAGACAGGACCAAGGAAAATGCCTCATAGCATGAGRTGAGAAAATTATACATGGAGTCATAGATACCTAGACATTATTTCAGCCTTGAAACTCAAATGCCCATAACTTCATTGTCTAACAAAGACATAAACCCAGAACAAAGTCTTTTACTCAAGAAGGAAAGGAAATTCGTTAAGCCCTACTGAATAAAAACGACCAATGGCCAAATGTTATTTCAGACCCCGCTAGTGCTGAAGAGGCTCCTAGAGGCAACTCTGACTAGACTATAGAGTAGATGTCAACATTTTACCAAGCTATTATAATCAACAGTGGTCTAGCTCAATGTAAAATTGAAGTGCCACCTTGTCCACTATTTAAAATCCTTCACCCACATCTCCCAGACAAGTGCAAATATCACCCAATTTGTTGTACATTGCCTCTACTTCTGATGAACCTAGCGACAGAAATATTTCTGCTGTTCCCTCCTGCAGCTGCCCCCGAATTTGGAGTGCAATATTTCTAAAACTGTGGTAAGGATCTGCTTGTATGAGGGATGAACCTCAGCTTCTCCTCTGAGACCTGACCTCTTTCAGAGTTGGCTTGTCTCAGGGGAGATTTTTTTTTTTTTTTTTCCCCCTTTCCCTCCCCTCTCTCTTTCTTCCCATTCCCTCCTCCCACTTTGCCCAGAGTGTCTCTGAGCGCCAAATTCCCTTGAACATGCTAAAAGAAGGCTTGCTGGAGCATCTGCTCTCCATCTGTGGAGCCAGACATATCCCCAGGCAACACTATTAGCAGTGATGATCTGGAAGGGAACATTAAGCACTGAGGAAGCATCTGCTGAGAAAGAGAAACCCAGTGCATAAAACTATCCCTGATACTTGCTGAGAYTCCTTGCTTCTGCCCATTGTTCTTAGTGGACAACAACTACTTCCTCCAAAGCCCTGGTCAGAAGATGACCTACTGTTCTCAAAAGCTTTCAAGCGACTTTGTACCTCAGGTGGCCAAATGCTATTAACTGCTCAGTTGAACATGACCTATGACAATGACCTCATGCAAGTCTCTTCCTGTCCTATAGCTCCTAGTCTATTTAATTTGGGGTTACTATTTGGATGAAATTTCATAATACCAATATTATACTGTTGGGGTATGTTGGTACTATGGCAAATTACTTGTTTTCAAAACCGGTGCCAATTCTGTGCCCTCACTAAGCCATCAGAGTAGACCAGACAAAGACCCACGCTTGTCTTTTAGCCATGATTAGCCCTATCACATATTCTCACTTGGGTTACCTGATTAATTTGCTTGAGGAAGTAGGTTATGGGGGAGAAAAAAAAAGTGAGTCCMAATGGTATGAGCATTTAACTCAAAACCTTGAGATTCTAACTCAAAAAGGTTGACAGCTAGCTTAGGACTGCATCTATTGTGGTTATTCCAGTTTATTATATTTTCCTGGGATTATTATAGCCTGAGATAGAGCACCAAATATCTGCAACAACCACAAGCAATATAACCTAAGTATGAATCAGAAAGTAATTTAACCAAGTGGTGTTAACTTGTTTAATATAAGTACCACAGCATTACCATTTAACACCGCAGTTCATGCTACAATTCTAACCCAACCATCCTCCCTATAGAAAATCAGAAGATGCAACTGGCTTCTGTTGTCAAAGAGGGCAGAATCAYGTTTCTGACAGTTTTATAATAGAGTTTTGTTTGTCCATAGCAGAATATGTGACCATTAAAGCTTGATCAAAAAAGATAAAGGACTGTGTTATATTGTCTTCCTCCAACCTCTTACAATAAACAAAGTCTCTGTGCGAATCCTACTTTAAATCGTAGGAGGAGAGAATGAACTTGAGGAAGATCTCGGTAATTACTTTGGTGGATTTTCAAGGAGAACATCAATGGAAATTGGTTATTTCTTGTTTCTTTCATTCATGTTCCTTCCTAGTTAACAACTAATAAAAAGAGAAGTACGTGTGCTATTTAGTTTTGAGTGGAAAAGAATAGGGTCATTTCCCCTGCTGAAGAGCCCAGAAGTATTTAAATTAGGACATCCCCTTGGATTTGCAATTGGGGAAATTTTTGCAATAGTCTGCCTTGAGAACACAACCCAGACTCCCTTCTGATTTTTTTTTTTTTTTTTTTTTGAAGGAGCATGAGAGGAAGAGGTAGATAGTTATTAATAAAAGTCTTCTAAAACTGAAATCAAGCATTCCTGAAAAAACAGTTGATTTGAAGTTTTAAATATTTCTATTAACTTGCTTCAGATTGGTGAGGGAGAAGGATGGAAGAACTTTGTTAGAGCTTTGTGCAGGAAGACTTCATTTCTGAATTTTCTTTTTGGGACCAGACAGATCCCAACCACCAGCTCCAAACACAGTTGGATAATTCCCTATTGGACTGTTCTTTCCTGTCAGACGAGGTCTGACCCTGGCCCTCCTTAGCTTGCCGGTCCCTGGTGCCTGATGACCYGCTCGCCCTCCTAGACCTCACGGGAGGAAAGCTGGGTCTGGAGCAGAGTGCTGAACTGGACAGCTCCCTATCCCAGCTAGGGCCCAGGACGCTGGCGAAACGTCCCCGTCGCATCCCACCTCATCCCTACAAGGTCCAAAGGCATGCCGCAAACATCAGGGAGAGGAAGAGGATGCTCAGCATCAACTCTGCCTTTGATGAGCTCAGGTGCCACGTACCAACCTTTCCATATGAAAAGTGCCTCTCCAAAATTGACACACTCAGGCTGGCCATCACGTACATTGCTCTGCTCAGTGAGATCCTCCTCTCCAGACATGATCCCAAATCCTATGTGGAACAGTGCCTGAAGAACAGCTTCCAAGGTCACCACCAGGCAATCTGGAACACAAGCAGTAAGTGAAAGAAGAATTTTATTTTAAGGAAACACAACAATTTGGGAGTTGTCAGTGGGAGTGGACCAGTCAAATTGCTTTTGAACATTCAGCTATCACATTCACAAAAGGCTTTAAATATAGCTCATCTTCAGAAAAAAGTTAACATTTCAATAAAAAAATGCAAGCTTTGTTTCAAAATTTTAGATATAATCTACTTAAACTTCTTGTGATCATGGGAATGGTTCATTCTTAAAAATCGAATCTAAATATTTTGCTTATTTTCACAACACTTTCAGACATTTTCTAATTCTGTTCAACATGGTTGTTTTATAATGCTAGCTAACGGAGCCTCCAGAGATTTTGGATTAGTTTGTATCTGACTGAGAAAAACACCTAACTTTTAGCGTTATCATAATTGCTTAACTTACATGAATCCATATTTTCAGCCTGTTTCTCAGAGGTGTTATAGGTCAGCATTGAGAAGCAGGCTACCCAAGCTACTGCACTGAGATTTCAGGTTTCAAAGAATAAGAGAGTAAATGTGTATTTGCAATTTACATTCTAATATAATTAGTTATATTTAAGAGGGAGCTGTTATGTTCTTTTCTATTTCACTTATCAATATTACTGATTTATGGCTTCCATTTCACTAGTGAAATTCTTATCTATGTGGGTTTGAGTTTGGGTTTGGGTTTATTTTCATCCAAGTCTCTTCACCAATCCAGTATTTACAGAATCACAGAATCATTTAGTGAAGACGGGAAATTTTCCAAGCACTCAAGTAATATGGGACCTCAGGTTTTAGACAGAAAATGACAGGTCTTTGAAAGATGGGTGCACTTAACAGTGCAGAGACAAGCAGAGTGGGCTTTACAGTAGCTCCCTAGTACTTCTTTGCATCCTTTCTAAATTTGCCTATTTGCTGTTCACATTCCTTTGGTCACTTTTGGAAATGAGCCTTGAAGCCTATCAGTTTTTTAAAATGTACAGCATAAGTAGAGAAAAGTCTGCTTTCTGGGGTGAGGGTCCCATGTGCGTGACTTGAAGCACATCACCGACACACTGATCCACTCTCCTCTTGCTCCTTTATTTGCCAAACACTCTCTCCAGCCCACAAATGCTTTGTGATTAGGCAATACCTGTCACACTAGGACCCACCTGGAATCTCCAGCTGCACTGAAGCACTAACAACATGAAAGTCACCTCTATCTCAGCTGCAGTGGTAAAGCTCTCCAGGTGGATTGCATGATCTGCACCGCACTCCTGATGCTTTGCAGGATACAAGATGACCCGTTTGGAAACAAATAAACATTGGCTGTAGAAACCTCTTGGCCTTTTCTCCAACCCAGAAATTCTGGCAAATTACTCCTCCAAAGCAAGCTAGGTGTGTGAAGGAGTACCAGGAAAGCACACTAACAGAAAGGTCAGGCAACCTCTCAGGCTCACGAATTACTTGCCATGGATGGACATATAATCTGGAGAGTACACAAGCACCAGAAGTGAGCTAGTGACAAAAGCAGCCCYGGAACAAGGATTTTCCTCAGTGTGGGGACTCCAGCAGGGACTAGCTCTAGGTATTGAGCCAATCAATTGGCTATTGATTTCAGAGCTGAAGTCTTATTTTGAGATGGAGACTCTCATTGTCAACGCTCCATGCTGAAACAGCAATGTCAGGAAAGACAGAAAAGCTGCTGAGCTTTCTGCAACCCAGTTTTCTTGACACCACCATAGAGCTCTTAAGAGATTTGTGGCTGTCCAAGTGCAGTTGGCCTGTGGTCTGCATGCTGGTCAGCACTGAGAAACGCCCTGCTATGTAAGGTGCTCCTGACAGTACCTATCACTGCTGCTGTCAAGGAACCATTGCACAAAGCATGACTTTGAGGAACAGGCTGCTGGAATTTGATGATGACTCTAAACTCGGAAAACTGTAGCCAATAAATCCTGCCACAGGATATGCAGGGATTGGGGTTTGGGTTTGAGTCAAAACCAGAAATAAAAACGTTCCTTTCGGGAGTTAAAGCTCTAATCCTGGGCTCTTGAGCCAGTAAGCAGGAGTCAATAAATTTATTGCCACCATTAATTCTGATGAAGCTGTTTCTCCTCATGCTCACTCTGGTTTGACACCAGTATCATTCCTTTGCCTTCAGTAGAGCCACACTTCATTTACACTGGCTAGAGTGGACAGTCWGTCTCTGTCCTTCCTGAGCTATCTGGAGTCTGACAAGGTAACTGAGCTGACACACTAGCCCAAGGCATTAATTGATGTTTGGGAGATATTTTGATAAACCATTTGGAAGTAACCAACTGCTGAATTGGTGAATGCATAATGCACTAAAACCAGCTTCTGATGCATCACAGTTTCAGCCTCTCTGCTGACTCCATTCACTTGAGAGGAACAGAAGGAAGTGAAGATGGTACCAGCCCTCCCYGGCTAAAGGAAGCCAAGGCTGTGTTAGGGCTTTCCTCCTACTGAGCAGCACACAGGCAGATTCCTCTAAAGCCTTGACTCTTCAGGGATTTTTAACTTAGCCATTCCTTCACAGCCCTAAGCTCAGGTATATTTAAAGAAATATGTCTTTTTCTGAATGAATTTCCTCTCCTGAAAGGGTCTATGAGGCAGCAAGTACCATGCGGAGCATTGACCTCTGTGCTTTACATTTTCATGCCAGCTAAATCTAGAAAAATACAAACAACAACAACAGGCTCCATGTCCACCCATCTCCTTTTCTAACACTTCTGGCTCTTCCCCTGTGCTATGCTTGACAAAAGTTTCCCAGGTTTCAGGTCTCCAGTTAACGTGCTGGAGTACCAACTAAAACTGGCAATGCAACATAATTCTCTGTGAGGGAACTACTGATATTCATCTTCATTTTTTTTTCTCCCATTTATTCACCTCAACTCCGGGATCATATTTTAGCCAAGGAATAGCAGTTATAGGCTTCCCATAGCTTAAATAGATCCCATTATACACACACAGGAATGAATTGTACAGCCTGAAATATACTCTGGCATAGATGAAGATTTTAAGGAGAAGTGTTACAGGAAGCACCTCAGTCCATCCATAGACACCTAAAGGAGCACACTGACTTTCAAACAGCTCTCTTATCCTCCCTGGGATTAAATTCAGGCTCCTGTTTCCTGGTCATTTGCAGTGCAGCACAGATAAGCTCTGGCCTTTCCTTATCATCTGTGAATCACTCGAATCTCTCACTGGAAATTCGATGGCCAGATTGGTTAGGAAAGGAAACCAGGAGGTACAGAAGAACGATCCTGTCCTATTGCATCCAAGGACTAGCTCGGTGGCCCATCAACAACGCTAGAACTATTCAGTTGAAACACACTCCTTGCTTCCAGCTCACYTGGGCCCTTGCCAAGAAAAACAAGAAAGATTTGTTACACCTTCCTTCCCCCAGAATTAAACTACTGACTCTTYCTGAAACAGTATACCACATTTTTTCTTCATCAACCTGGAAACTCTGGAGCAAAAGGAGTCACACCCTTACTAGAAAGAAAGAAGTTTCTTCTTTGAAAATAAGTTGGTAGTTTCTTTAGGAGAAAAAACAAAGGTCAAGGGAGATTATTATTATTTTTACTACAGATGCACAGCACCACGTTTCAGTTTCAGGAGTCCTACTATGGCAGCATGAATGAAATGGACTCTTGCATTTCACCTAAACCAAGACTGGACAAGAAACTGGGCAAGACTGCTTTGTGCTGACAGAGCTCAGCCATGGAAGACTTCACAATTCACGTGCTGCTCAGCTTGCACTGTTCAAGACCTCAACAGCGACTGGAGGCTGAGCTGCCTTCTAGACATTGATAAGACTGCCTTGGAGGGGGACCCTGTTGGAGTCACTCCTGTGTTGCTTGTAAAGAAGCTGGACACCCTGCAAAATGCTCTTTGATTTTCTGGTGGATTGCAATGGAATTTACCAGAACAGGGACAGCAGAAGAGAACACCCTAAAAGCAAATGACACATATGCAACAGGTGATGCAAGACAACACAGACACAACACGTATGCAAGTCAAGATTTTCTTATGAAGAAAGACTATACTTAGAATGAAGAAACAGCTGAGCAACACGGTGACGTTTATCTCATTTCGGCAGCTAGGCACTGTCTCATGCAGAAGAGATACCGTGGTTTTAGCCACATGCCGTGAAATTGTCTGGAAAATATGGCCCCTACCAACAACTCATTCCTGATGGATGAGAGGAGATGGCTTTGTGTATAGTCCGGCATGCAATCCTGTTGCACTCCATGGCTGGCTTTGCAAATCTTACACCAGCAGTGCAAGGTCAGCCATGGTAGCTGGTTCCAGTTTGCATGCAGACAGCGATGTTTGAAGTCAGCACTCTGCTCAACGGCTGTCATCACGATGACAGATCACCCCAGGCTGTAGCTGTCTCCATGCATGCAACCATACACACAATACATACGCTGCTAGATTTATGAGAAGGAGGCTTGACTGCAGGGACTTGTGTTAAAACTCTGTCCAAAGCCAAGCACCATGCACTGTCTTCACACGAGTTTCCTTCTGGATGCTCAGCACTGGTTGGTCAGAAGAACACAGTTTTCCCTCTTCTAATAGGAACATTTGTTCCCTCAGGACAAGCACAGTCAGCACAGGAGCTCCCAAACAGTCTTTTGTTCATCATCACAAAGAAGGATAAAGCATCTCTGTACCTCTCATGCTAAAATCCCATAGCCCTGAGAGCACTACCACCATGGTCTGCCCTGGAACCTGCTCCCACGCATGGTGGCAGCTGGAGATGGTGCAGAATGATGCTTGGTGGCAATACCTCCATTGTGGGTCACTCTAAGATAATCTCAGCCCAGGAAGGCCAGCTGGTTAAGAGAGAAAAGCAGCCTGAAGGCCCAAGTGTAAAGAAGTTAGTCCCTTTCACCCGGGCAGCCAGGGCTGCTCTTTGCAATTCCTCTTTCCTACCTGGCACCACTGGACCTTTTCTTATCCTGACACCTGGTGTCACTCACGTGGCTGGTTCTTCATCGTGACCAGCCCATTTTCTGCACAACTTCCAGGGCCAGATGCCAAGCTCTCACTATGTTAAGCAAGCAGCACAAAGACATAGTACACAACCCTTAAAGACAGCTTGAAATATGCAAGGCAGGAACAGATTACAACAGTGCAAGGGTTTGTAATGAGTACTGTGGTGCCCTGAAAAAATTGAGGGCTCAGAAGCTACCATATAACTAACTGTAGGGGCTACCAGCACAGCCTGACATTGGGGAAAAGCCTCCGGAGCCACATCAGCTCCTTCTGTGGGAACAAAGTGCAACTGCAATCACCATGTCTAATTTTAGCTGACTCCCACCCGGACTGTTTGCTTAAGCCCAAATGTATTCGAGCAGGGAAGCACCAGAGCCAAAACCCTATCCCAGTCTCCAAGATAATCTCTTGCTAGAGGAGGGGAAGCAGGGGGTGGGGAGGGGAACCTGACCGCGTTTTGTGCAAACATCTGAAACCCGTGTATGAAAATCCAGCTGCAGGCACTGCCCTCTCGTGGTGCGCGATTAAAATCTCTCCCATGCAGGACAAGCACAGGACAACTTGTGCAAATAAGAGATCTCACCCAGGGACTCGCCACGGAGAGCACAGAAATGGCTATTAAAAAGACACAAATAGATGAATGCATGCATGGCTACCTATCTATGCATACAGCATTTTAATCTTTCCTCTGCAAATCATTTTTATGCGTTTATCCCCCTTCTGTCTGCATCCTTGTTTGTRCACCTTGTGCATAAAGAGAGCTCAAAGGTTATTCATGTCTGCAGTACTGAGTGCTCAGAAACATGACTGCGTTACGGGCAAAGCTTCCCGAGGAGCCACGAGTACCTCAGCTGGTGCACAAAGACAACAGGCAGAAGAGCACACACACTGATTGAACACCCATAGGATGCATCACATCATTGCCTGCACCCTGCTCTAGTGCTAGAGACTGCCCAAGCTTCAGCAAGATGCCTCTGTCTCTCATAACAGTCACGTGAACAGCTAAGTCATCTACTCCAAAACAATTTCAAAAAATAAYCAGGCTAAACAGAGCACAGAAAATTTTAGCCCAAGCAGTTGTTGTTAGGCCCTGATGTACGCAGATAAAGATGGAGCAAAATAATGAGGAGCTCATTCACAGGTTAGGCTTCCCAGAGCAGAGGCAAGTGCGGCGTGCACATGCCTTTCTCCTGGAAACATGGGATGGGGGAAGAGGGAACAGCAAAACTTCACACAAAGACATCAGGAATTCTCATTTATGACGACGCTCCTACAGGCCCCAGCCCAGTGGGCCCTTCCTCGTGGCAGATGTTTGCCGAGTGTCCCAGTGCCCAGCAGGTCTCCCTCTTACCTGCTGCTCCAGCAAGGGCAGAAGGGAGTTTCCCAAGCTAACGTTTGCACAGCACTCCAGAGGGCAATAAAGCTGTGTGAAACACTGCCAGGGAGCTAATCTGAACACTGGTTTTCAACCAACCTCACATTCTCCCATTGCTTAGATACCTGCATTTCAGCAGGCATTCAGGTGAACACCCCAAGGCGTTCAAAGCGGGCATCGTTCAGTGCAAACTCTTCTGCAAGCTTCTCCCTCTGCACATGCTACATCACAGCAACACGTCTGAGGGCAGCAAATACCAAGGGGCACACTCACTTCCTCCTTTCTTCCCATCCCATAATTTTCTCCTCCTGTGTAGGTACAAACCAACCAACCCAATACCCAGTTTAAGACTCCGGGTGACACAGTGACTCAAGCTTGCAATAGAAATACAACTACCACGGGGCAGACTGTCCCAGGAAGCATCACTCTTTGCATTCTGTTTGGCTGCCTAACAAGCCATTTTGCAGCAGTTCTCCATTTCAAGTGAAGACCACRTTTTGTACGAACAAAATCATGTATTTAAATGCACATGGAGCTAGGTAAATGTGTGATTAGAAAGACGGATAAACTGCTGTATTTGATCACCTTATCAATTTTCCTTTCTGTTACTGAAATACATGCTGCGCTGCCCTAAATCTGTCTTTTTCCAGGAGCTTAGTGCCGTACTGTTGATAAGCTCTAGTCATGGTTATCCAGCTCTATCCCTGCCACCATAGGCTAGGAYTTCTGCAGCCAAATGCCAGTAACTTCAGTTACTTCAGTAACTTCAGACTTCAGAATATTCTGCATTAGCAGAATCATAATCTGCTCCTAGGGCAGCTAGGACAGACAGCCCTCAAACCCCCCCAAAATCACAAAAGGTCTTCCAGTAACTTTGTTTGCTTTTTACACCTTATGGTCTTCTACTAACTCTTACATCTTCTCAGGCACTGAGCCCAGAACAGCTCTTTTGCACCCAAACTATTCTCGGTGGGGTAAAACATTGGCAAACACTGAGCAACACGAAAATAGAACAAACTGAAAGCGATGTGCAATTGGTACCTTCCTGCTGAACCAAATTAACAGTGTTAAAATCACCAGCAGGTACATAATCCTACAAACCTGGGAAATCAAATCAGCAACAGAAGCTGGCAAAGTCTTTGGACTGTTATTAGCAAAAATATATTTGAAATTGCCAACTYTAGAGGCATCTTAAATATGATAGAAGAACATGCAATTCAGCAGCAAATTGCACTCTGAAAATAATTTAATCTTGGAAAGTTTCTGAATGAACTCTGCAATAAATCTTAACCTTGGTTATTTTGCAGTTAAAAGGTGCTGCCCTTAGCTCTTGAGGGAGAGAATTCATAAAATAAAATGTTCTTTAAGGAAAAGCACAAAGTCTTCTCTTCTGAAAGCATATAACACAAATATTAAGGAGCAAGACCAAATTCTTAATCAATATTAACACTGATTTTTTTCAGAGCAATAAAAATAGCTCGTAAAATGCACTAAAAATACTTGGGGAACTTATTTTAATTGTTCCCTAACACACAGATGTAAAATAAGTACTTTTTAAACTACTCTCTCTGACTGCACAAACACATTTAAGATCCTAAATATATAATGATAGAAGTGATTTCTTTAAGCTTATTCTGATTTTTTTCTGTTGTTGTTGTTGCTATTTTTATTTTCTTTTTCATCATGATTTCTGTTACCTTGCCACTTATTGCTCAAGTTTGCAGCTGCAGGGAAGATTTTCTCCCCCCACCGGCTTTACAAGCACATCAGCTTGGATCCACAGAGGGAAGTTTCGTGCTTGTGCCTCTCTCCAGAGCCAAGCAGCAAACTGTCCAGCCTCCCYTTGATAAAAGCCGTGCCGTAGCGGATTTGAATCCCAAACTGAAAAGGAAAACAATTGAGAAAAAAAAAAAGCCCAAAACAGGCTTCATAAACTCAACCAGATGCCTTAGAAGAGCTAAGATCTTGTTCCTCTTTAATTAAAAGGTAGAGCAAATAAAAGCTGGTTTTAATTAAACACCAGGAATATAAGATGTTATCTCTCCAAACCTTTCCACTGGGGTGCATTGACTTTTGCTTGTATTTCTGAAATTCACTGCACAGCAATCCAAATACAACACAGGGAAAGAAAGAATGTAGTTTTTAAATGAAAAGTCAAAAAAAAAAAAAAAAAAAAAAAAAAGAGAGAGAAAGAAAAAAAGGCAAGACAGCAGTTCCTGAGTGGGTACAACTTGACATAGCCAATGATTTACACCCAGTTAGATTAACCCCCCCAAAAATCAGTCCTTTTGATTCAGTTCATATGCTAATGTAAACACACATACACTCACTCAAAAGCCACTTTACCCATGCTTTGGCTCTTTTGTTTTCTGTACAGCGAGGAATATATAGAATTAAACAGCCAGGTTTAGGCCATTTTTCCAAGATCTCTCTCTTTCCAGATTTTCAAACACCAGTGTTTTCTTGTCACCAGGTGTGAGCCCTTGTTCAGCTTCAGTACTGCAGCACATGCATTCAGCAAATACTAGATTCTAGAAAGAAAAAAGAAAGAAAAAAACAAAAAACAAAAGCACTTTATACAAACACRTCTGCAGTCCCAAGCAGGGTTAATTCTTGGCTTTTCCCAGCACCACAGTCTCCTCAGCAAGGGCCAAACCTGCTTGTAAACCAAGGCAGGTGTTTTTATTGCAATCACCTTCCCTTAAAAAGAAACAGGAGGCATTTAAGCATAATGAGCAAGGGCTACACTCCTGCCTTTAATCACTACCTCGCTGGTTAATGTAATCAAGAAGGTAAATAAACAAGGCTTAACTCCATTAAATTAAAAAAATATATATTCTGAAGAAAAAGTCACAAGGGATTTTTTTTTTCCTGTTGCATTGCTACAGAGCAACATTTTAATTTTGCATTGCAAATTCCTTTTAATATAAAAATATTTGTCTTGGAGAAGATTTCTATACTCTCTACCTCTTATAATTAGGAACTGAAGTTCACTCGATTTAATTTGGTATTGCATTAAGTGTAGCAACACCACTTTGCACTTCTACAGTGTCTTTCACGAGCAGACCTACAAGCATTTAGGTATTTTATTGTATGTCAAAAGAACAATCATGTTTGAGTAACACACCTGCCCTGTCTGATAACAGATCCAAAGTGACGTTAGACATAAATACAGATTTCAAAATCAAATTCAACGTCCTCAAGTACCTGTGATAATACATTGTTGTAATCTCTGTAGCTGGAACTCCTTCCTCCAGGGCCAGAGAAAATGGCCAAATGTGGAACTGAATTTTGGGCCTGTTTGGACACAGAATGAGCTATTTAGCAAATACACTTTATCACGATACAGGAGCCACATCCCTCAGCAACAACCACTTATTTCACATAGAAAGCTCTGCTTGAACCTTGTGCAAACAGAGGAAATGCTCTTATCAGTGGAGATAGAAGCTCGGCATATAAATACAAGGATTCAGAACTGCCGTGATCCCAAAGATTCACATCCGAAATAAGAAGCCAGGATGAATGCAGGCATGGGGAAATAAGCCTGTATAGATGTGTGCATATTCTGCACTGCAGAGAAAGCAAACAACTAATATAGTCTATTCCTCCTCGCTTCCACATACACTTTCTGCCTTTTCCTAATTCCATTGTAAAATAGCCCTCRGGAACTTCCATAGATGTGTTGAAAAAAGAAACAAAACACCCTCCAGCTCTCCCTGTGAAGGAAAATCAGGAAAAATAAACCAACATGTTTATTGATACAGCGTGGCAAGTACCTGACTGACAAGCCTTTGCTTATGAGAGAGACACTTTCTGCGCAAGTTTTAGGGAATGTGGCATGCCGGAGTTTAAAGGCAAATGGGAGATTGCCATGGCAACTGCACATGGGGGCTGCAGTTTGGAGAGGTCTCTCTGGGAACTACGACACCAGTAGAATTTTAAGCATTTTCAACTTTTATTATTTTTCTATTTAATAGCCTTGCCAAAAAAATCCACGGTGGAAAAAAAAAAAAAGCAAAATTCCATACTATTCTTCACCGCTTCGCAAATAAACATCTGTCCTTTCCACTTAAAAACTTGGAAGGAGGCGGCAAACACTAGAAGCAAATATTGCTCTCAGCATCCTGCATTTTAGGAGAGCTCCGCTGCAAATACCGCCGGAGTGAACACAGGTTCAAAGAGATGCTCGGTGGAGCACAAGAGCTCGTGAATCTGGAACGCGTTAGTACCTACGGCCGCGCTTCACGCACGGCACGCTTGATCCCGCCGCGACTTCTTTGCAYGATCCACGGCGCTCAAACACGGAATCGCTCCTCTGGGCCCCGCGACGCTCCTCRTAGCCTGCAGTTATTCTCAGATATAAAGTTTTGGCAGGATCCCTGGTACTCAGTATCACGAGTCTTGGCCCGCCTGATGTTCAGCAGGGGATTAAGTGGTACCCTAAATATAAGAAGGCTTCAACGCTTATCTCTGCAAAGCCAAGGGTCAAGCAGAGAGCGAGCAGGTGAGCATGGCTGGCTGGGAACTGAATCTTYCATTTTACCTATTTTAATTATTTCAAGCATGGGCCAATTCATGGGAAGAGGAAAAAAAAAAAAGAGGATTGAACCTACCTGTCCAAAATAATAATACAGAGATTCTAGCAAAAACATCTCCTSTATCTTTTTTCTTTTCTTTMCAGAAATCAAATCCTGATTTTAAAGCAAGCTAGAAGTGTTTAATACAAAACCAGATTTTGTTTGTTTGTTTGTTTTTAATGGACACTCTTTTCTGATCTTATGGTCCTAATTTGGGGGTAAAACATAAGAGGAAAGAGAAAAAATAAATAAATAAATAAAAAGAGGAACAAACCAAAAATATCCGTTCACTTGGAAAACTTTATTTCACTTAAAAGAAATTCTTTAAAAACATATCAATCATTTCCAACAGCGACTTGGAGACGATGCAAGCTGTAGGAACGCACAAACATRTGCCCCAGTTCTGCATTCCCTGTCATTTATCGGATTGCCTAAAGAAGTCAAAGGCTACCAGAGCCAATCTATGCAGGCAAACACAAGTGTGACTTTGCAACATCTGGCCTGATGTGAGCTCTACCAAGGAGGAATTTCTGTCTCACAGTCGCAGCCATCCGTGCTTTACATCCTGCTTTGTAACTGCATACAGCCAGGGCAATGTGCAGAAACTTCTGCCAAGTAACAGCGGAGCAAGAAACATTCACGCTGCATTTTTAAAAAGAAAAGGTTTTGGTTTTCTTTTTTTATATGTTATTATCTGATCACTGGAAATAAATTACAGATCTGACTGTGCAGCGGTAAGACATCCGTTCATGTACCTACCCTTGGCAGGCACAACAGGTGCTTACAAGGCTCTTGTATTCCACATAGTTTTCTCATTTCTGGTGACCTATTTACATGACCTATTTACCCTTTTTTCTTTCTTTCTTTCTTTCTGAAAATAAGTTCTCATTGCACATAACTTATATTTTGCAAGCATAACTCCATGATATGCATGGCCTGCAGCAGGGCACTGAGGATCCGRGCGCTGCGGACAGATCCCTTTGGTGCATCTCAGCACGGAGCGTGTGCCAGCGTGGCACGTCGCACCACGAGCCGGATCCTCTGGGAGCACCAGCTGGGAAGGGTGCGGGAGGGCGAGCGAGCGTCCATCTGCTCCTCAGCTGTGCAGCAAACGCCCGGCACCGTGCGGCAGCGGTGCAGCCGGAGCGCGTTCAACGCGGGCTGCGTCCGCCCGAGCTCAGAGGAGCTCCGTGTTGAGCTCAGCGCTGCCCGCAACATCTCCACARGGACAGGGACAGCAACAGCAAAGCGCTTAAAAATCCTGCTGTCCTGCTCCTGCATAATCCCGAGACTTTGCATCCAGCAGGATTTTTGGCCAGGGGCTAGCCATAATGACTAAAGCAGCTCCCTGTTCCATAAGATTCTTCTCTAATCCTAAGATTTCAGTTGCATCCTTGAACCTCAAGAGATACACGTGCGAACAGCACCCTTCCCACAGCTGTCTGAGGGACACATCTATGCATTGCCATTCCCAGGTGCCTAGAAGTGCTGTTGCACTCGGAGGTACGAGCTCTCTCCAGATGATGATGGTTGGGACAGAAGTCCTTGGACCTTGTCACCTTGGTGTTTGCAGAGAAAAGCAAGGTTTGGTTGTAGACATGGGGCACAGAGTCACAACTTCATACCAGTAGGAACTGAGGTGCCTATGGGTGAACCTTGAAGCTCTGAGATCACTCCTACCTCCAATCTCCATAAGGAGCTGGAATCAGGTGGAAGAATAGAGCAACTAGCATTTTAGTAGATACTAGCAGATAATTAGGTAAGTAGCACATTTCTGGAGTTTTTTAAATCAATGGAAATTGCAATAAACAAAGGCTCAGAGGAGAATGTTCATGAGATAACAATTTTAGGAAGTACATCACAATAAAGTATTGACTCAGACTCTCATATCTATCAAGATAATGTCTGTGAAAACACATGGATCCATGCTGCTGAGGTTGAAATTAGTCACTAATATTTTCCACGTTATTTTTCTGCCTTCTGGAAAAGTTTCGCTTTTTTTAAAAGGCTTGTAAAAATTGTTTGAAAGCATTCCTGTACTGTCACTAACCTGATTGAGCACCATCATCTGTGCTCCAGCGAAGGAAACAAAAAGAGAAAGTGAAAACAAGGAATAAACAAAGTGTTTAATTATAGGGAAAGAAAAAGGAGCTAGTCAAATGGGTTTATGAAATTTCTAGTTGTAGAAGTGGCATTGTGAGAAAAAAGAATTTGTGAAAATTACTTTGGTAGAATTAARAATCAGTAAGAACAAAGGCGAATTCCTCTTCTACCTTCTTTTTGTGCTTCAGCAAGACATTTTAAAAACATTCAGTTCAGAGTGATGGTGGTTGACCTTATTTCTTCCTCCCCAAAAAAATATATCAGAAAAAATGAATACTGCTTAACTCAAACGTTTTATATTTTTCTCTCTTAAACTAGAAAACAGTAGGGAAAAACATTTTTTCAGATCAAACAATACAATGTAATGTATCTGAAACAAAATTTTTCAGTTTTGGCTTGCAGTAAATTTTGTGCTATTAAGAAACCAACATTTAACCAAATTTAGCCTCATAATATCTTGTTGAAATCAAAACATTTCCCTTCTAAAATTTCAGCAAAAAAATGCCTGCTTTAATTAGGGAAAAGAAAATCCATCCTTTTAAGCTGCATCTAAGTTACAGTCAACACCAACTCACAAATAGTTTTTTGTCAATCCAAGAATGCATTTTTTTGGCACATCCAGTAAATGTTTTCTGAGCTCTGGTTTGTGTACAAACGGGCACTCTGGAGCCCCGATGTGCAGTTTTTGTGCTCGACTGTTACCACATTGTGAACATCCCTGTCCGATTCGTGCTGTGGCCGAGAACCAGGCTGCCTTATGCCAGGTGCTGCAGGATAAAAATTTGCATTTGCAACAGCATCATCTTGGGCATCTCTGGTTTTTACMGGGTGATATTCAACCACTAAAAAGATGGAGGAAACAAAATGCATTCCCTCAATTTTTCTTTTTTTTTCCTGGCATCCAGGTTCCCTGTTGCCTTTAGCAGCTTACACTAGACTTCAAAGCTCTAAC